GTTCTTCAGGTCTGTCCCTCTCTTGACCCCCAAGTCATTATCTTATCAGTGAGGCCTTGCCTGGACAGTCTTTCTAAAATTTTACCAGCCCCCAAACACTGTTTCCTCTACTGCCTTATTTACTTCCCTTGTTAAGACACATCAATATCAAAAAGCCAGAAGTAGTAAAAAACTAAATTAGTTTTTCCTCCTAAATGTCTTTCTTTTAAAACTCCTTAACTATGAAGACCATTTTTCCTTAAAAATTATTTTGGTCGTTATGTCTTAAAATTACCCACATACCCACTTTAAAGAGTTAAATAGTTCTAAGAACTGCCGTCAGTTTCAGGAGTAACTATTTCCAATTCTATTGGATGATTCTTTTGGTATTTTACACTGTGTCTAAATAACATGCTTATGTTGCTACTACCTAACTTCAATTTTGAGCCTTATTCATTTTCCACTGTGTGGGATGAGACGTAAGCCCCCTCTTCCCAGTGTCACACCCTGTGCATGCTCACACACATACAGCTCTCCCCTTCTCAGTATGATAAAATTGTACTTTTGGTTTCATCAAGATTTGATATTTTAAACTGTAAGCCCTAGTCATAGCTGAGCCCCATAGTACACTGTGATTACTTTCCATTCCTTTGTAATGTTTTCTTTTTCCTAAAGTTAAAAATTGTCATGATTTTGATTCGTTTACTTTTCTAGGTATATTAGTCCATTCTTATACTGCTAATAAAGACAGAAGACATACCCGAGACTGGGTAATTTATAAAGGAAAGAGGTTTAATTGACTCACAGTTCCACATGGCTGGGGATGGTCCTCACAATCATGGTGGAAGGTGAATGAGGTGCAAAATCAAGTCTTACATGGGGGCAGGCAAAGAAATGTATTCAGGAGAACTGCCCTTTATAAAACCATCAGATGTCGTAAGACTTAACCACTGTCATGAGAACAGCATGGGAAGAATCTACCCTCGTGATTCAGTTACCTCCCATTAGGTCCTTCCATGACATGTGGGAATTATGGGGATTACAATTCAAGATGAGATTTGGTGGGGACATAGCCAAACCATATCACTAGGTTATTAGCATCAATTCTACCCAAGACTGTATCAGTTATGTATATCTTTTTTCAGTATATTCAGTCATCTATATTCTGCAGTTTACCTTTTCTTGAAAAAGTCACTCATAGAGTCTTTTTAAATCTGAATGATTGTTTTCAGGTCTCCTAGAGATACCACAGAGGTATCTCTAAGATCTATTTACTCTCAAAAGAGCATTTGGGCAGTTGTTACAGATATTAATACTATTGTTGTTGTCATTGTTGTTTTTTAAATATTATTTGACCAAATCATGAAAACAACTGTTCACTGTGAATTTATTAGTGGTTCCCTTTTATGTGTTATAATCAAGATAACCTTTTATTAAAAAAATATGGAATGCATTCTTTGTTTTATATGAAACATATTAGGGATTACTGAAACAATCCGAATACATTGATTATATATAGTATTTTTAAATTTTATTTTTTATAGGCTCTCAAAATTAGAGAGATGTGTAATTGCCCACCACTGTCTAAACCAGACCCTCGATTACTATTCAAACTCAGCATGAAGCATTTTCTTGAAGAATCAGAGAAAGAAGACCTAAATATTACGAAGAAACAGAAAATGGATACTCTTCCTGTTCAAAAACAGGAGCAAATACCATTAGCATACCTAGTTGAGAAAAGAACTGGTAATTGAATTAAAACTTATGAGACACAAGATATATGAAGAATGTTGCAGTCTTTATCATTTTATGTTACTTTAAAAAAATTGATGTTTGAAATGAACAAAAAGGATATTCAGGGTCAAATCATGTACATTACGGATATTATCTAAATTCTTCTAGAATTTATTTTTCATGAAATATTGATGGATTTTAATCTATGTTAAAATATCTTCAATGAGGAAAATGTCACAGAATAAATTTATATTACACATTTTACTCTGTCTTCTACTTGCTTTTGATTTAGAAGGCAGACCCCTAGTGGATGAGAAATGAGAACACACAAGTAGTTTTTATTGTAGAGAAGGTTTCAACTGAGCCTAAACTGGATTTCCAAGTCTGGGTGATTATGATGAAGTGGGAAATAGTCTGAAGGTATCTGTTTGCAGGAAATTGTTAGCATCGGGGTGGGATTATGTGGAAAAGGGGACCTCAGGATAGAGAATTTTCTTATCTTCACCTGTGGATGACTGGAGAAAATGCTACAGGCAGAAGCTATTTTCCTAGAGAGACACAAGAAGTAGAATTTGTGGTTCAGATAGCAAAGCAAGAAACAGAATTGGGGGAGAGGGCATTTCCACAGAGACACTGTGTTCCTGGTGCACTGATGTCTTAACAGAAGGTTGTGTCATTTGATTGCTCCATGAGATTACCATTTGGGAATCTCTGGGGTTCCCAGAGAAGACAACCACTCTGTTTCTATGATGGTACCATCAAAAGAGCCAGAGGCAAGGCACTGCCCCCAAGTTGACCTTCCTGAGCCGCAGATATCAACGAGGGGACCGGAGGAAAATGACAAGAGAAGAAGCACAAGACACACCCCCAGTGGTGCCAAGAAATTGCTGCATTATATAAATGTGGAAATATGACTTATTTAATATGTGTATTCCCAAACTAGTGAAGTCTAGTGATGCTTAGGTTATATTTCTAAGAAGACATTTTTCTTGAAACACATTATATTAAATAAATATTTTCTTAGAGAATTACAGAGGAAAGGGACTACTTTGTATTATATGTCTACTATGAGCTGGGCCCTGTATTTATCTTTTTTCCATAACCCTGTTAGGTTTTATTATTCTTATTTTACAATGGCAAATAGGCTTGGAGAAGTTAAATAATATACCCAATGTCTCTCACCTAGATAGAACAAAGCTAGATCTATCTGACTACGAATCTGTCCATTTTTTACAATGCTCAGATATCTAAGAGTAAGCTATCGAAACAAGGAACAAACTATTCTCAGTTATTCATTAGCTTCCCCACATATGGCTACAATACAAGTAAAAATCTCATAATTATGAAATCAGGGACCACTTGTGTTTCCTGCAGGTTGATTTTATAGGTTCTCAGCCTCTGCTATCAAAATTGACATGAAAAGCTTTAGATGAGGCAGTGTAGGAGAGTAGAACCTCTCCCACTGCCTGTGGAAAGAAGCCTGTGAAATCTCACCTGGGATGTGCCCTGTCAATATTAAATCTTCTTAGACAAAATATCTAGTTGTTAAGAAAACAAGTTCAGAGGCTGTTTTTGTTTCCCAGGGCTTATTATACATTACTTGTAAGGAATTTCCTGATCTACACACAAGACAACCATTGGTCATGAAGAGGTTCACATTAACTATTCTCAATATAATCATTTTTTACACTCCTTGTGATTGGAGTGTTGTGAAAGACACTCCATAACATATAAAGACAGTTGGAGAATATCACCTAAAGGTAAACAGTAAAACACAGCGTTAGATTTTCCTACAGATTCCCTAAGAAAATAGTGTAGCAAAGACCTCTATTTTTTCTTCTATACTGTTGTCACTTCTAATTGTGTTGTTCAGACTTGCTAGAAACATATACAAGTTGACACCATGTCAGAAGGAGCAGAGATAATATCTTTATAATATACCAGAAAGACTTTTTTCAACCAGTGGAATCAAATGCAAAAGAAATGTTACAGTTCAGCTCAATGTTTTAGAAGAAATAGCAGTTGAAATACAAGATATGTGTGTGTGTGTGTGTGTGTGTGTGTGTGTATATATATATTTAATTTTATATGGAAATAAGCTCTATGTTCTGCACTTAGTTGCAGAACTACTTTGTTCCTGTCAATACTTTTCATGTGCCTATAGGATATAGATGATAGGCTGGTGGTTAACTTAGTTGTTAGGAGGATGATGCTAATAAATTCAAGACACAAACTCAACCTGATTTTTTTATAATTCTGATAGTGTGAGACTATCCCCCAAAACTAAAGGACAAGGACAGCGTGTATATTTACTTCTATATGCTTATAGTTCTTGACACATTATAGGCATTAATTAATATTTTATTGACACTGTACAGCAATCATCTGGTCAAAGGACTGAAAAAAAGGAGAAACAGTCATACTCTAAAATCTCTGCTTCTGTAGTTGTGGAACCCTGGACAAGTCACATAAACTCTCTAATCTTCATTCCTTAATTGTAAAATGGGGGCAAAATAATTCTCCTAGGTTGACTTGGTTGACCAAGTGAAATGATACAGCATTTAACACAAAATCTAAAGCTGCAAACGTAATAAAAATTGTTACCATATACTGATGCATACTTTATACTATTAGCCATTTTCATACTGCTATAAAGACATACTCGAGACTGGGTAATTTATAAAGAAAAAGGGGTTTACTTGACTCACAGTTTCACATGGCTGGGGAGGCCTCATGAATCTCACAATCATGGTGGAAGGGGAAGAGGCACATCTCAATTGGTGGCATGTGAGAGAGATCAAGCAAGAGCAGGGAAAACCACCCCCAAAACCATCAGATCTGGTGAGAACTCACTCACTGTCATAAGAACAGCATGGAGAAAACTGTCCCCATGATCTAATCACCTTTCTCGGCACATGGGGATTACAATTTGAGATGAGATCTGGGTGGGGACACAGCCAAACCTATCAGCTATGCATGGTGCTAAGCATTTTGCAAGCACTGTTGAACCCCACAGCGACCCTATTTATGGTAGATATTCTATTCAACTATGCCCTATTGTAGGTCAGGAAGCTGAAGGTTAGAGGGGTAACGGAAGTTGCTCAAGGCTACATGGTATAGTTCTTAAGATTTTTTTTTACTTGCAAGAACAGAGAAACCAACACAAACCCAACCAAGAAAATTTGTTCCCTCAAACTAACAGAAAAGCCCAGAAATATTCTGCTTCAGGCACAGTTTAATCTAGGGGATCATGATGTCATCCGAGCAAGGGCTCTTTTTCTTTGCAGTCTTTCTCAGATGTTCCCTGGTGATGTCAAGATGGCTGCCAGCACTTCCAGGATTGCATGCTTTCACATCCAGCTGGATGAGTGACTGACTCACACCCCAACTATTGAAACAAAGCCTTTAACACTAACTGCACCCTGAAGCAATCGCCATGGCAGGGGATGGCATTATTTTGATTGGCTTGGACCTATCTGGATCCAACACGAGTTGAGGATGGGCACGACTCAACACCACCCAAACAGAATGGCTACTGCGCAGTGGGAGAGATGCAACCACAGGGCTTATGAAGTAAGTGACAGAACTGGAATTAAAACCTGTTTATCCTTTCAGCAGGCAAAAAACAAGATGATTCCTTGACAAATTTTATCTGAAATGATACCTAATCTGAGAAAAAATGTAGTACAAATTTTATATTGATATGATAGCAAATTTTCATTAACCTATTTGCTTTACCATTTAAAAGTTTTTTTGTTTGTTTTGTCTTGTTTTGTACTGAATTATAGCCTCAAAACCAATCTATGAGATTGGAAGGACAAATGGCATTATTTACTCATAGGGGAGAAAACTAATGCTTGGAGGAATTAGGCAAGTGACTCAAGTATGCATTCAGGTAAATGGCTGAACTGGGATTGGAACTGAAGAGTCCACTGATTTGTAATCCAGTGTTCTTTCTGCAATACTGCATTCTTTGGAGAGGGAGCTGTTACCTCCATTTACCTGGAAACTGAAGCTCAAAAATATTAGTCAATGTGTGCCCAGCACTACTCACTTCTCAATGGCAGAACTGGTTCAAACCCTCTCATTTCCTGACTCCTCTTCCTCCATGTACTGCCACTTCCATAACAAATCTCATAGAAAGTGAGGATGAAAAATGTGCATTCCCTTCATCCTTCACTCGTGAACACCAGGGCCAACACCTCTTTTCCCTTATTTCAAAGCACCCATTTTAATAGTCGATGGCAGATGGTAAAAATATCCATTTTAAGCGTATGTATACATGTGAAGGATAAAATTCTTGTTAATCACCTCATAACATGTTTTGATGAGAGCCTAGAGAATTCTTTAATCTGTAGTGAGATGAGATAAATCTCCCACTTCATTACGGGGAAGAAAACTCTATCAGTGTTCTACCCATCTACACTTTGCCCCCTAACCTCCATCAGAAAACTTAGGCTAGTGGCTCCCAGCTTCTGAATCATCCAGGCCTCCTTTTACATTAGCTGGCTCTGCCAGCAAAGAGTTTTACACCTCTAAGTTCTATCTTGAAGAGTTGGTGTGTCTAGACCCATGTCCAGGTGTTCTCACTACACTGGCTGTTTAGGAGACTGTGGGGTATGGGGCATAAGTCACAGTGCAGCTCTGTTTCCAGGTCTTAGGATGTCTCTGATATCATCAAAGACCAAGCAGGACCTCTGATCATCATGTGATCTCTGGTGCTACCAAAGTTCCAGCCAAAAGAAAAAAAATTGTTGTTTTAATTAGTTTGAGCAGCTTAATTATGTGAAAGAAAATATAAAATTTTTAGTTAAGCTCTTTGAAATATTAAGCAGAGCTGGCAGGCTTCCAATTCCATCTTAGTAGACCACAAGGGGCCTGGGACCTCATCCTGGGCAGCATTGGTCTAAAATAAGATTAGTTTTTTTTTCTCCTTCAGAATATTAAAGTTAACATGTATTAATTTTGACCAATATATTAAAGTTTAATCATACTTTTGTAGGTTAGAAATGGTGGATGGTTTACTTAAGAATTCTGTACTTCTATATTTAAGGTTGTATTTCTTAAGTAACTATTGTTTTTACACAGAAATGTTGAGTTTAGTTTTTTCCAAATTATTTCTTTCTGATGTGATTGGAGCCTTCAAAGAATCAAGGGCAACATCACTAGTCTCATTTTTTTATTTGGGAAAATGGGATAGTAATATTTGCCCTACCCAATTCCCAGAATTATTATGGATTTAAATATAGTAATGTATATATGCTCTGCTGAACATCCCAAATGCTACACTGTGCTGATTCTTATTAACATATTCTAACATGTCTTCATCTGGGCTATATGATTATTAGTTAAGAGAGGTCATTTCCCAAAGGTTGGTTCTGATCTGTTACAACTCAGAATTGGTGATGATCTCTTCCTACTTGAGTGTGAGAGGAAAGGAAACTTTTATTTGTGGCATGTTTTGTTTTAGTCTGGGGTGTGTGTGTGTGTGTGTGTGTGTGTGTGTGTGTGTGTGTGTTTAACCTAATTCAGCCAGGTGCAGTGGCTCACGTCTGTAATCCCAGCACTTTGAGAGGCGGAGGTGGACAGATCATTTGAGGTCAAGAATTCAAGACCAGTCTGGGCAACATGGTAAAACCCTGTCTCTACTAAAAATGCAAAATTTTATTACAGGGAGTGGTGGTGGGCACCTGTAATCCCAGTTACTCCGGAGGCTGAGGCAGGAGAATTGCTTGAATCGGGAGGCAGAAGTTAACAGTGAGATTAGATCATGTCACTGCACTCCAGCCTGGGCAACAGAGCATAAAAATAATTAACCTAATTCGTTAATCCATTATGGCCCTTGTCTGGAGGGTGTTCCTGATTTCCATCAATTTCTACATTCTGTTGTTTAAATCTGGAGAAATAAGGCCAGCCATCTCCTAGAATCACCAATCCATTCTCCAGATGATGGACTGGGAAAATGGGAATTAGTGTTTGTAGAGCCCTACTAAGGCAAGATTCTATAACCTTTCTCTCCTTTTAATCTTCACAGCAACCCTGTGAGGATGTTTTATTTTCCTAATTTACAGATGAGAAAATGGGGGTTCACAGGACTGTGTAACTTTACAGAGGTCACACAGTAGCCCAGGAATTTAGCTAGGTCTATGACACTCAAAGGCTTTCACTGTCTTTAATACGCCTCCCCTCACACAAAAGAAATGAGAGCAATTGGCAGGACAATGTGGGAAACATTTATTTGGGACCCTTGCTTTGTTCAAGTGCCTAGAGCATTTCTCCTGCTCCATAGTCCCTGAAACTTTCCACGATCTCAACACCAGCTCCCTTTGCAATGAGCCAATCAGCTAACTAAAAGGTATTCATGAAAAAGGCCCAGCAGCCTCAGGAACATACAACTGACCCTTGACATTGCAGGGGTTAGGGCACTTTTTGGACCCTAATAGCTACCCAAAGTCACATGGGCCACCAGCTTTGACTTGAGCGCGTTACGAAGAACTAACTCCTCCTCTCAGGAGAACTATTAGGTTGGTGCAAAAGTAATTGCATTTTTTGCCATTACTTTTAAATGGCAAAAAAAAAAAAAAAAAAAAAAAGGCAATTACTTTCGCACCAACCTATAGTTTAGGAAACCACTGAGGATTCAAGGTCAGAAGGTCTGAGTTCACATCCTGCCTTCCCTACCAGCTGTGGGATCCAGCAAGTCACTACGCCTCTTGAAAGCTCAGTTTATCCTTACCTGCATGTTGTGGCAACGGAAAGAGCTCTGTTACTGCACCTACCCCATCATGCTGCAAGCTGGCTATTGGCCTGGGAGCTCCTGTAGAGCAGGAGCTCTGGCATCCTCATCTTTTTCATCCACAGTCCACAGGAATGCTTGATGCTTTATCGGTGATTCCTAGTCTCTGTATCTGGAATGACCCTACTAGCCTCCGTGAAGTAGAAGTTTGACTCGGAAATCAAAATCCAGACGTGAAGTGATATTTACATGTATGTGACAGCTGGTTTGGGAGCAGACGTTTATTGAACAGCCAGAACAGATTGCAGAGTTAACACTCAACAGCTTCATCCAGAACACAGAAATCTGTCGGAGTTGAAATGTGAAGGAAACGCAGGCTGGGAAGACACACCAGTCTTGGAAGGCATGCTAGGCGGTGCTCAGACTTTCTCTGCAGAGTGCCCTTGGGTCAGACTGTTCTGGCAATGAGGTCATTAGTGCTTGGTAAGATCAAGTCCCTAACAATAAGAGCAGTAACAAGAGCAATAATAATGGCCACCACTCATTATTGAGACCTCTTACAAACCAAGCTCTGAAAGCACTTGACATGCAGTAGCTCGCTTGACTCCTGCAACAATTCTGTGAGGCAGATAAAATTGTCCCACTTGATTTATGAATGAGGAAATCGAGCTCAGAGAGTGTGAGCGAGTTGACTCAGGCCTCCCAGGTAAGACTTACCTTGACCTTGCAAGCTCTTGGGTCTCAGATGAAATGCCATTTGGAGGCATTAAGTGTTGTGAGATTGGCTCTGGCTGGTTGGATAGTTTGTAAAGCATGACAATACAGTGCAGTGTGGGGAAATGTCATTTGATTTATTTTGTTCTCCTGGGACTACTTCCTCTCTTAACATGACTAGCAAGGTAGGGCATAACTGAAAGTGAACAGAAGTCCTAGATGGGAGAAGAGACGATCAGAGGGACCCTGGTTATTTTTTGTGAATGTTTATGATAATAGTAGGCAATAGTAATAGTTAGCATTTATGAAGCAGAAAGTGTTGGGGACGCCACTAAACACTTTGCATGTATTATCCAATTTTGCACCCACCATAATGCTGTTGTTGCCCAGCTGCATTAGTCTGCTCTTGCATTGCTATAAAGAAATACCTGAGACTAATTTCTAAAGAAAATAGATTTAATTGGCCCACAGTTCTGCGGGCTATACAGGAAGCATGGTGGCATCAGCTTCTGGGAAGGCCTCAGGGTACTTACAATTATGGCAGAAGTGCAAAGAGGAGCAAGGTGTCTCACGTGGTGGGAGCAGGAGGGGTGGGGAGGTGCTACACACTTTTAGAAGAGCCAGATCTCGTGATAACTCACTCACTATCACAAGAACAGCACTGAGGGGATCGTGCTAAACCACTCATCAGAACCCGCCCCATGATCCAATCAACTCCCACTGGCCCCACCTCCAAAAAAAGGATTGAGGATTCCATACAATTCAACATGTGATTTGGATGGGGACACAGATCCAAACCGTATCACCAGCTAACAGCCACCCTTCCTCTTGTTTTTCATTTTGTTTGGGTGATAGTGTGCCCTGCCTGCAAATATCTAAGTCAATTATCTAATGCTATTCACCTAAGCCAAGGCCAGGTCTGAGAACAGGTGTGTAGCTAGATATGATGAATAGGAAAGAAAGCAAAGTCAAGTACTTTCCAAGGATAGCAAATATTTTCCTCCCTGAGAAGAAAGATGCCACAGAAGATTCTGTTTTAATTGTTTGTTTGCTTATTTGTTTGTCTTTTATCCCTGCCTTGTAAGTGCTATGTCAAGATATGACCTAGGGAATCCCGGGGATACCAACCCAGAACCCCAGAATCCTAGTGTCACTGGGTTGCTGGGGCAATGCTGGCATTGACTGCCTCAAAACTTTTCGTGAAGTGAGATAGTAAATGTCTTTATTATTTATGCCATTATTAATTGGGTATTTTCTTACTTGTTCCTAAAAGTATTCCTACTGATAAAATAGTATTGGTTCCATTTTATAATTGAGAAAACCAGGGCATAAAAAATTAAATCACTTTTCTTCTGTCACCCAGCTTGTAAGTGGGAAGGCCTAATAAGCTTTTGCTACTACAATTCTGCCTGGACCCAAGTCTACAGTCCAAGGAATTACATTCCAGGGGTGATAGGTTGGCTCAATCAAGTAAGAAGAGCTCTTGACACTGGGCAACTGAGTAGGGAGTTCTCAGTCATAGGAGATGCTGAAGCAAAGAAAAGACAGCCATCCATGAAGGTCACTGGAAGGAGAGCCAGTCTCTAAGTAGACAGGAGTCAGAAAGATGGACCGCGTGCAAGACGCTAATGTGTTATAAACGTGTTCTGTAATAGAACCACATGGGCTCAAAGAATAGGCAAAAAAAGAAACTGCAGTCTTGGCTAACCAGGTTTCCAGTTTGGTGATGAGACAGTGCTTCAGACATCTGTGGTCCAGGAATGGGCTTAACAGTGCTGCTCCTGGACCATTGAGGGTGATGGCAAGGTGAAAGGTAAGGGTCAGGCCTGGATGTGCATGAAAGTCCCAGCTCTGGACAGGCACGGTGGCTCATGCCTATAATTTTAGCACTTTGGGAGGCTGAGGTGGGAGGATCACTTGAGGCCAGGAGTTTAAGACCAGCCTGGGTAGCATGGCGAAACCCCATCTCTACTAAAAATGAAAAAATTAACTGGGTGTGGTGCTGCACACCCGTATTTCCACCTACTTGGGAGGCTGAGGCACAAGAATTGCTTGAACCTGGGAGGCAGAGGTTGCAGTGAGCCAAGATTACGCCACTGCACTCCAACCTGGGTGACAGAGTGAGACTCCGTCTCAAAAATAAATAAAGTAAAAATAAAAATTAATAAATAATAAATAAAAAGAAACTCCCAGCTTTGCTATTTCCTAGCTGCCAACCTCAAATTCCCTCTTTGTCAAATGGGAAGAATGGCTTCAGTGTACTTCCTAGGGCTGCTGTGAAGATTAAATGAGATGATTGTACACATCTACAAACATTTATTGAAGACCTACTATATGCCTAGCCTTCTTTCAAATCCTGATGTCTGTGTAAGCTGAAAGAGTTTCACAAATTTAAAATATTAAGTATTATTATTTATTTTTAAAAAGTATCTAAGTCCTCTCTTCCTCCTGCCCTACCAAGGAACTCCATTCATCTATTTTGAAATAAATTGAGCTCTTACCCAGGAAAATAGAAGAAACGGCTCCGACAGACAGAGTTTCCAGCAAGACAAATCCCCAATGGCTTCTCCCTGCCACCGCTCAATAATGGTGTTTGCTATAAATCAGAGAGCTTCTTTATCAAGTGCTTTGAAGCGCTTGGGACTGATTTAGCCCTAGAGTGAGATTAATCACAAATTGCTGCTTTAGAAAGAGTGATGGGTATGAATTAGAAGGTTCGTGGAGATCATTCTGATTCGCCCCAATTGCGATAGATAGCTGGAATTTACAGAACTAAGGCCCTAAGTTTTTAAACATTTCTCAGTTTGAGAAAAATTACTACATCTAAGAGTAGATTTCTTTTCCCCTAATAATGTCACAGTGGGATGGGGAAGGAACTAATGTTTTCTTTTTAAAAGCACGTAACTTTGTGTGCCAGACTCTATATTTATATCATGTTTTTTTAATCCCTATAATAATACCATGAGATAAGTCTGGCTATCCTCATTTATTAGATAACAAAAGTGAGACCCACATTGGTGAAAAGACTTACACAATGTTATGCAATGCCCAGGTAGCTGAGATGAATAAAATGCAGGTCTGTGTGATTCCAAAGCCTTAACAAGGAACCTCTTGGATCATTGATGGCAGATCCCTGGAAGCAGAGCTCAACGTAGATACAAAAAATAAATGAATCACATAATGCTTGCTGTGATTGCTGGCTAGCAATGATGCCTGAGACAGTCCCTTAGGACCCATCTTTAATGACACTGTCCTGTGATGACTTTCTCTAATATCGCCTTTTTTTTTCATAAGATAGAGGATGCATGAATGAAAGAAGTTCCACCAGGAAGAATGTGTCTGCTTCCTTTCTGCTCATATACCATGTAACGGCCATGGAGGGGCATCACTCAGATAACTCTTCAACAGAGCCCTCTGTGGCGTGCATAAGTGACAAATGCTCCAGCTGCTACACCTTCAGGTCCACAGTAACTGGGTATGTCAGGGGCACTAAAGCTGGGCCATGCCTTCTGCACATGAGATCATGTCATGGATGACTATTGCATGAGGACACCCTGTTGGCCTGGCCAAAACGTTCTTAGAACTGCACTGTAGTCACAGCTCTTCCAACTTCCTTCTCCTTCCTTCCTGCTCTCCTTTCTCATGTGTCAGACCTACATCATGGTCTGAAGCCTCTTCCTGTCTCATCCTGATCCCCTCCTTTGTCATATACAAGAATGTCTCCAATACATCTCATGCACAGCTAATCTCATCTTGGTGTCTACTTACTGAAGAACGCTAATGGAAAGACACAGTGATTCTGTTTCTCCAACCCACATGCCTATCACCTGGAAAACAGATCAATTTTGTGATATCATCATGCAACAGAATACTATAGAGCAGTGAAAATGAATGAATCAGAGATAGAGGCATCAACATGGATACATCTGAAAAACATAATGTTGAACAAAACAAAAGTGTTGCAGAGTGAGTGATACATACATACAGTATGTAACATTTATATAAAGTTTTAAAACTTTTCAAACAATGTCGTATGTAATTTGTAGATGAGTACATAAAGCATAAAAACACACTAAGGGCCGGGGCAGTGGCTCAGGCCTGTAATCCTAGCACTTTGGGAGGCCAAAGTGTGGTCGGATCATGAGGTCAAGAGATCGAGATCATCCTGGCCAACATGGTGAAACACCATCTCTACTAAAAATACAATAATTAGCCAGGCGTGGTGTGCATGCCTATAGTAATAGCTACTTGGGAGGCTGAGGCAGGAGAAGTGCTTAAACCTGGGAGGAGGAGGTTGCGGTGAGCCGAGATCATGCCACTGCACTTCAGCCTGGCGATAGAGTGAGACTCCGTCTCAAAAAAACAAAACAAAACACACACACACACACACACACACACACACACACACACACACACACACTGAGGAAAGCTAAACCCAGATTCAGGAGAGAGGCTACCACTGGGGAGAAAAAGAAGAATGCAAACGGGTTTTGTATTTTAAGCTGCATGCTTGGCACACAGTTGTTCATTATACCTATGCTTTTTATATGCCTGAAATGTTTCATAGTAAAAAATTTAAACATATTAAGTCATACCCAACAAATTGTTTCTAGTGAAAAATGATAAAATAATTTGAAATTGGCTATGTTTTGGGAAATTTTGGATATATGTTGTCGCACGCCATCAGTTGAGTCTTAGTCCACTGTGGCTTTTACTACACCAAGTAGCAATTATTTATTTTTATGTTTGTTGCTGTTCTCTTTCTCTCCCCAACCCTCACTGGACCATGAGCTGTAAGAAAAAAGACTCTCATCTCCTTATTTCTGAATCCCCAGTGGCTATGACAGTAGCAAGGGAGCAATATGTGTTTATTATGTTTTTAATAATCAGGAGAAGAGAAACCAGGGACTGGGGAGAGAGATGGCAGGTAGTACAGACGGCAAAACCTAAGTCACTATTTTTTCAATGTAATCGAAAAAGCAGAGCTTCCGCTTTTGTTTGAGTGCAGCTACATATGGGCAATAGGGCTACAGTGGGGCAGCTGGGGGGCAGGCCAGAGGGCCTGAGGTGTGTGAGGTCCTGTGACAGTGGCAGCCACTTTGTTATATATTTCAGGCAAAGAGTTGGGCATTATCCTCACAACTTGGAGAGTTCGGCATTTTCACTGCTTTTCACAGATAAGGAAACTAAGGGTCAGCAAATTTGTATCTGCATCATACAAGGCAAGCTGCGGATCTGCTGTGAGGCCACTCACTCAGGTATTCATGTATTCATTCACTCAACACCACCTGCATTCCAGGCACTACTGCGCCGGGTACTAGGATACAGTGATGAATGGCTCAGACTGAGACCCACCCTAAGGAGCCCCCCAACTAGTGAGGGCTCAGATGCACAAGCACGGCTACCCTTGCAGTCGCAGACCGGTTCTGGGACAGGTCCTGGTCAACGGGGCTGTGGTGGCACAAGGAAGAAAAACATCACCAGTGCTGAATGTCAAGGCTTCCTGGAAGAATGACCTCCAGATGAGACCCAGGTGAGGGTAGGTGGAGGGAAGACAGGAGGGTGTTGGCAGGGGATGAGTATTATCTCTTTCATGAAAGAGCATCCTCTCTGAGGCCTGAAGATGAAAGAGCAGAGTGTCAGAGCTTCCCGTGACAGCCAATAGTGCATTCTCTTAGAGTATCCCATTCATCTGCCTTCCAGGCTCCAAGTCCTTGGCTTCAGGAACCTCCCCTGGGCCCCCACATTACTTCCACACAGACCTACCCACCCCATCTGTGTTAGTCCAGGTCCTCTGAGAAAGCAGAAACCAAGACAGGATTAAACTTGCAAGAAATCTGTTAGAGGAAATGCCTGTGGGAAAAAATGAAGAGGCCAGGGGAGGCTGGAAAAGCCACAAGTCCACAATACAGGCCTGACTCCCAGTGAAGGGGCAAAAGAGGGAGAGAGGGATGCAGGAAGCGTTTTTAGTCAATCCTAAGGAAACTTTGGCAAGGCTGGGAGTACTGGAGCCACAGTTGCCCAAGAGAGGAGTCCCAAGCCTCCAGGAAGGGCCCTTCCTCAGCATCCCTGTCCTGCTCCTCCATTGGCTAGGGGTGGCCAGGGGCAGTCAGGATGCAGTTTGTGCTGGATTTCGGAAAGCAGTTGTGCGGACCACTGGGCAGTCATGCTCCCTGAAGCTCGGTATCTGTGAGGAATATTCTCCATGGCCAACATACTGCCCTAGGTTTTTATATACCCCCAAATCTGGCTTCGGCTTCAGCCCTCTTCCTGGGTTCTGCCAAGATAAACAGTCCTGAGCAAAGGTGGTGTTGGGCAGTGATGAAGGGCACAGCTTCACAGCAGCCCCCATTTCTGCCACTGACCATGGGTGCTGCAGGTAAGGCATTGATCCCCCCAGTTTCCTTGTGGGAAATTGTGGATAATAACAGTTCCTGTCTCCTAAGGTTGTTACAGAAGTACTCGAATTAAAATGCATGGTAAGTGCCCAATAAATGATGTCTATTATTATATTAATGGATCCATTTTTGATTTAGGGGCCATTTCAATGCAATGGTTTGATGGGGCTACATCAAAATGTAAAAGCCCTGCGCTCCCACCACTGCTGTGTGCCAAATATACCTGCATCTCACTCTGTCCTGAATGCTTCACCATCTTTCCATGAAGCTGCCCCTGACCCTGAGGTTTGGCTTTGGGCCTTCCTCTGAACCTGTAGCCTCCTTTTCCCATGGAACTTTTTACAATGATTAGTTGCATGTTTTGTTGTTGTTTTCATTTCTTGAAATAAACTGAGAATTCCTGTGGGGGTGAGGTCGATGTCCTGTTTGCTGCCACATCATCAGTGCCTACATGTTGGCTGAGCCCTGCCCTAGCCAGGCTCAAACCCAGGGCCACTCTCTAGGGTCATGCAGGGCGCTTGCCTGAGAGGAGAGGAGGGCTGCAGTCCACCTGGTGGCTGGGGGCCCAGTGGTGTGCTCAGGGGCTGTGCCTGCCTGAAGGAGGCACAGTGTTCTAGTTTCCATTCATACAACATTGCTTAAAGCTTGTCATATGAGCCTCTGATGGACTGCATCTGTCCAGAGGAAGGTCCTTTTCTTATTTGAGAAAGATACTGTATTGGTTAACAATAGCTCTGCCAATAAGCCAGACTGAGCATGTGCAAAACCACCAGCACGATGTCTCACACTGTGTCAGCTACTCCTGCAAACTTCTGGAAAGGCTTTGATGAGCATTTCTGAGTGTTTCTGCCTTAGCAATATGATGGGTTAGATTCATGTTTCTTTTCTTTTTTTTTTTTGAGATGGAGTCTCACACTGTCACCCAGGCTGGAGTGCAGTCGTGCGATCTCAGCTCACTGCAACCTCCGCCTCCCAGGTTCAAGTGATTCTCCTGCCTCAGCCTCCCAAATAGCTGGGATTACAGGCACCCGCCACAACGCCCAGATATTTTTTGTATTTTTAGGAGAGGCGGGGTTTCACCATATTGGTCAGGCTGGTCTCCAACTCCTGACCTTGTGATCCGCCCACCTTGGCTTCCCGAAGTACTGGGATTACAGGCGTGAGCCACCACGCCCGGCCTTAGATTCATGTTTCTAAGCTCCTTTCCTACCCCGATATTCAGTGATTAGAGGAAGCCTGCTGTTCAGATACCACTGAGGTGTGAGGACAAGGGCTGCCCGAAATGGAGTTCAGAATGGTCCCATCCTCTCCTGGGCTATAGTTACCCTTGCCCATCACCCTGGTCAGCTCTTGCCTCCTCCTCCAAGGAGACTGCCTGAGCAAGCCCACATCCATCGTGTTTGCTTTGTACTTTATATTTTATTGGGTGACTTTGATATGTTACTTCCTTTAATTCTCACAGCAACCTAGTGCTAGATCTTGGTGTTATATTGGTGTTATATGTGATAGATGAGGGAAAAGGAACTCAGAGAAGTTAAATAACATTCACAAGGCCACACAGCTAGTACAAGGCCAAGTTCAGGCTTGAACACAAATCTAGGCAGAAGAATTCCTACCCATCTTATTTATGCTGCTTATAATGTTTCTCTGCATTGCATATTTCTCTGTTTCTGGCCCCATTTAGAATATAAAAACCTCAAGGACAAGGGACATGATTCTACTTCATTCCATTCTCTCCTGAACGCATCATGCACACGGTAAGTGCTGTCTAAATGCTGTCTGAGTCACAGTGGAAATCCTTGAGATGCAATCGCATCATATGTCAGGCCCTGGTAAGGACCTATACAAATACAGACCTCAGTGTGTGCATGACAATACACACATTGATGTCTTCCATGCATACACATGGTGCAGCTGGTATGATACCTTTAAGGAAACATCTCTAATTAAACAACAAAAATGCTATTCTGCCTGTGCCTGCTTAGCAACTGTGGATTGGTGGCCAGAGCATTTGCTTCCACATTTCTGCAGTGTGATTTTCCCTCCTCTTCAACTCTCCTCTTCACAGCCCAGGCTCTGCACCTCCTGTCACTTAATATCTGGTCTTCCTTGACCCCTCTGGCTGGATGCAGGATCCATTTGCTTGGAGCTGTGAGCTCAGCTTCCCTCATGCAAACCTTCCCATCTCTTCCTAGCTTTGGGTCATTCACCCACAGTCTTGGAGACCCAGCTCCACAGATGGTCCCAGTGGACAGCCCCACAGCCTGTCTCAGATTCTCAGGCTCTACTGAAACACATGGCAAGGATGTAGACAGACTCATATACCTGTGAAGCCAGGGACTTACACACGTGGGTCCACATGGCAATCCAGATAGATACATGTCCACCAGACCAAGTGCAGAGACACAGATAAACATTTTTGCCCATGGAGGCAGAACCAGCATCCACATGCAAACCCATGTATGCATGCAGGAATGTGCCCAGGTCATAGATACGTGTACACACAGACTCAAGTATGCATACAACCTTATACATGTAAGACTCAGTATGTGAGTGTACATACCCCTTAGAATGTGGATACCAGTGTATGCAAACACCATATGCCTCGAACATGAAGATTTATACACAGCCATGCAAGGGCCAAAAAAGCAACCTTAGCCTCCTTCTCCCCAGGGTGCCACACTCAAACAGATTTCATCACAGATCATGGCCTTTCAAAGACACAGGTTCACACCTTCTCCTTGGAGCCAGCTCTTCCTTTGTCAAGTTGTCTGGCCCTAGGAAGGTGACGGAGCTTATGGCTGGGAGTCCCCAGGCACTCATATGACGACCTGTCACCTCTCCACTCAGCTACTCCTCTCACCAGGAGCTCTCTGCTCTCAGTGGGGAAGGCACTAAGGCTCAAGGTAATTAAATCTCTCTCTTTTCGCTTCGGCAACGTTGATCTGTTCAGGGCCACACTCTGACTCCAAAGGAACAAAGCTTTTAATTTCTTGGCTGGAATACACTGTTCTTAGACTTGTTTCATATGTGAGACATAGGAGTGAAAATTCGAGCATACATTCTCATCTTCAGAGCATGATATTGCTTATGAAGCACTTTTTCACTGTTTCATTTGAGTCTTACAATCGTCCTATGGGGTAGATGGTACATAAACTACCCCCATTTTACAGACAAGGAAACTGAGGTTACAACAACAAGGGCAGCAGTTGTCCCTGACTTCCTGCGACGTGTCAGGCACTGTTTTAAGTGCCGTACATGTTTCAGTTTTTTCAGTCCTTACGATAACACTCAGAGGTATGTCTGTCTTCACCCCTATTTTACAGAGGAGGAAACCGAAGCACATAAGGTCATATTAACAGCCTGAGGTTTTCTGCTTAGGAATCAGTCTGGCTAAGTCGTATGCTATTGAAGTTAAAGGGATTTAATGCGGGATATTTGTCTTCTGGGTGAAAATCTAAAGCAGTGGCTCCCCATATTCTGACTACCGATGACCACACATCTGATTTACTTACATCATTAACTCCACCCTTGAAAGATTTCATCCAATACAAACACTGTATTCATTAAGAAATAACCTGTATTGTGCCATTTTAATGAGACTTTTGAAGCTTTGAGAACAGGTTGGGGGTACCCTGAACCTCTAAAAATTGCTACTGGTTGAGATGCCTTGGGATTGAGGGTATCCAGACTGACACCTGGAATACAGAAAAGAATTTAGTTAAGGTACCTTCTCAGATCGACCTGGGTACCAATCCTGGCTCTACCAGTTATCCTCCTGGGCCCTTGGGTAAGCAACATCACCCCTCTCAGCCTCTGTTTGCCTGCAGTGTCAGATGAATATAATAGCATCCAGACTGTAGCATTCAAGGGATAGCACCATGATTGTGGATGCCCCACAATTCCTTGGAGTGAGGAGAGAAATATTTGTAATTGTCAGAAACGTGATACAGCTGGCAGAAGTATGTGAAATCAGTTACATAAATTGTGAACTACATGTCAAAGTTCTATTTGTCCTGAGACAGGGTGAAAATCAGTGCATTTCTCATCAGGATAGAAAATATAAACAGAAAAAAATCAGAGCCTCTGGGAATAATTCAGCCACAGAGTGAGTTCCGTGCCTTCATCGGTACTCTTTGGCGTGCTCACAAACTATCATTGTTTATATCCACACTTGCTGGCCCCGCATCCTTTGAGGTGTACCTTTCTTACCCTTTTCTTAGCTGCTTAGTAGGTTAGTTGGGGTGGACTGTGCTTTTGTCCTTGGCTACTGTGATTATGTGAAAACAGCTTCAGACAGATTTTTCTCTTGCTTTCTCCTGGGCCATTCCTGAGTTGCGCTGGCCCTCCAAAGCCTTCATCCCTTCTGTGTCTCCATCTTTGCTTTCTCCCTTCTAACTACCCCTGCCTTTTCCTTCCTTTTAATTGCTTCAAAAGAATGAGAGCAAATTTCAATCACATTAAAAGAAAAAACTAGTCTCTATGGCAGTGGTCTTCACTCGTTTTTGGTCATATTCCTCTACTGGCTGTAAAAAGTTTGAGCTTCTAGTATCAATGTATGTATATGTCATTATTAACATAGTACATAGTTAACTTCTGTACTAATATTTTATTTCTAAAACATACATAAGTGGACATTTTTAAGATGGAGATTTTTTAAAGCATGAGATAAAAATAGTAATTTAAAATTTGTTAATGAAAGAAAAATGCTTGCTCATACTAAAATATTATGTTTTTGAAAACCTGCATTCAACACTTTCTGAAACAATTATTTAAAGATCTAGGCCAGAGTTCAATGCATACCAAAGGCTGAGTTTAGTTATTGTCTTAGCTGTAAGAGACTAGTTTATTCACAGAAAACAACAAGTTTCATCACAGAAAGGGTGAGGAAACCGTGAACCAATGTCTTTTTGAAAGAAAATTACCTTTCTTATCTTTATGTCGAGATGACTTTTTTAAGTGCCCAGTCTGCTGGGATAACCAGTGAACCTCTGTCTGGTACAGAAGGCTTTCACAATTTTTTCTCAGTTCTAGTATTTTAAATAATATCATCTGTAACTCTACTTAACTGGGCACAAGTCAACCCTAATCAACCATAAAATGTTGAAAGCCAAACATGGAGTGAGATTGTCCTGGGTGACTCCTATGAGCTATGGGGCACTTACACTTTCTCCAGGATCTCTCACTAGCAGTAGGTGACAAATACTGAGCATTGATTTTCATCTGTAAACTGCATCTTAGTAAACCTTCATAGTCTTTAAATTTAAATATCTAAATTGGAAGGCCAATGTGTTTTCCCCCGTAGCTCCCATGAATCATTATACACACTGTCTGGGTAGGTCAACAGCGTTGGGAGCTAAAGAACAATGAGATTCAGGACTACAGACAGCTACACACATGCGTGGGAGGGGA